GGTGAAAGCATAGAATTCCCTGATCTACTTCCCCAAGACTGAGGAAACATGGATCCATGTTTTCTGATCCACAATACATCTGTCCATGAATTGCAACAGGGATGGGAAGGCTTTATGAGCACAAGGGCTGCAGGTGTTTTGTCAAAATAAGAAACAGTTTGGCATGCTAGTTACCACAGCAGCCCTAGCATCTACTGACAAGCCAATCAGGTAGAGTTAGTAAGCAAGCAGCAAGCTTGGGGCAGGGGGGAAAAAAGTGGTCAAGTATTAAAAAGGAAGCTTTGTGCTATCAGCAGAGCCTTCCACCTGGGGAAAAGAGTTAGGCTGCTGGCAAATAAGACATTAAACATTTATGTAGTTCATCAATATATGGCTATCAACTACATTATTTTTTCCATGCTGACCTCCTCTGCTAACAAGGTGTGATGCATGAACATTATAACCCATCACTGTACAAGGTGAATTTTACATTTTGGCATGAGGTCTTGCTCTCACTTCTTATTGCCGCCCTCAGGCCTTGCTTGGGACCGTGTGTTTGCATGCAATTTTGTTTTTTAAAAAGGGAGTTTCAATGGAGCAAAGAACAACTATTTAGAGGTAAAGCTTGCTACGTATCTTGCACTTGAGGATGCTTCATTTGTGAACTTCTGATCTTTTTCATGAGAAAAGTTTACATACTGTTCCTCAGGTACAACTGTGGACAAGCACCTTTTTCAGTGCTAAATGGCCTAACTTTAATCTGCTTAATTTAAGCATATCTGTCACGATGGGCTGTCATTCAAGCTGACAGGATGCATGTTTACCCTACCAGGGAGCAGAGAGTAATCTAATCCAGGATGTTTTCATTACAAAGCCTCAAGATCCTGATCAGAGAGTAGTGATGGCTGTGTTAAGACAGAAGGTAGACCAACTGTAGATCTACCAGCCAAACAAAAATAGACAAGAACATTTCCGACAGTCAGGCTATCTAGTTCCCTACAGGCACCAAGGATCCCAGATAACATGCTTCAGGGCTAGATGCCTTCCAGGGCCTAACCGCCTTCAGTTTTCAAATTAGAAGGATTGATAGAGCTTGATGCAGAATTCTATAGTGAAGTAGACAACATCTGAAAGTGCCAAGCAGAACACTGTACCCATTAAGTAATAAAAGCTATAAAGTCAAGTATTCCTCCTCAGGTTTTGGTGGGGGATGAGAGGGGTGCTCTCTAAGAAATTCATTATTTACTGCTGCAGCCAAGTTACCCTCTCAACAGCTCTACATATTTGATGGTTCATACTCCTGTGTATGTTTTAGATCAAGATGAACCCTTCCAGGTATTTGGATGAGACTCACATATGGACTGCACATGGATTAAACTCACACAGAGTCTGGATATTCAGTGTATATACTTTCACACATTTTTATCTACCTGAAAGTTAACAATACTTTGGAAGTTTAGAGAGAGGTGCTACAATCACACCCTAAATAGGAAAAACTTAAGATCAGTGCTTACAAAAACAATAAATTAGTTGCCCACATTCTAGTGTGGAAGGTACCCCCTACCCAAGCAAGTTGCCGAGGGCTGCCTGAACCTCTACTACCCCTTCTTCAGATAGGTACACAGAGTCCTAGCAGAGCACCAAGGAAAGAGAAGTGAAATTGCTTGTTTCTGCTACTTATCCCCAAGGCCCTGAACTCTGAAGTTCACCTGTGGCATTCAGAGTACAGTGTACTCGCATGTATACTGCACTGTCAGTCACACTAGAATCTCAAAAACAGAGGGGCTGAAAGGAGATAATGATGCATACTGTAATACATGATTTCAACATCCACAACTAGTCAGAACAATTCTTCCATATGACTAATTAACTGAAGTAATGGATGCCATACCAATATTTATGGTGCAGAAAAAGCTGTGAATTCCCCGAGGGAAGGAACAGGGTGGAGGGAAAAACCACACACACACAACTCCATTTCATGCCATCTTGCAAAGGAGTATGAAAAATGGTTCCACATAACCCATCACAGCAGCATGCCTGTAACATTAAAACATCGTCTTCAGAAGCAGCCTTCAATTAAACCCAAATCTAAAACTCTGCCAGTAACCTAACTGTTATTGATAAATATTGCCGTGCAAGGTATTTCTGAAGCTTCAGCGTCTGAACAAAGAGCTTTGTGCTAGGAAAAAAAAAAAATGCTCAAGACCAATGAGCCTAAACTGTGTAAGTGATCAGAATCGATTCTCCAAAACTACTTGAATTCTTCTGTCTTTTTTGTTTTACAAGTTGCACATAAATTTTAGTTGCATCATTTGTTTGTTAACAATCCCAAATGAGCATTAAGCTTCAAGTTTTACAGCAGGAGGCAAAGAAAAAAAATGTGAGGTAGGTGGGTGAAGAAGACAGCTGTATTGTTCTAGCTGTTCCTCAGCCTCTCCCACTGCCAGATTTCTGTGGATGATGTATCCCAAGGTAGCAATTTTAAGAACTTTTTGGCAATATCCCAAGCTCCTCTTGCAAATCAGAGATCAGACTAATGATATTAAAAAAAGACAGGAAATAGGAATAAACTGGATAAATGACACTGTATCAAACAGTGGAAATCACTGAACTCTGGTACTGCAGCTTTACAGAAGAGACACTTGTCCAAATCTCACCATAAAATTTTACTATGTAAAATTAAAAAAGAAAAAAAAAATCAGGATAACAAAACCAAGGCCAAAAACCACCTTTCAAGATACTACTTGCCTTACAGCTACTGGTAGCTCAGGACACTGCAATATCAAACAGACATCAAGAAAACCTCCCTCGAGCAATTTATACATTAATACGTTAGTCTCCTTAAGCAAGGGAGTTACCATTAAGATGAGGTTCAGTAAGAAGCCCACATATACCAATGCTGGCTGTCATTAGGGTTGGATTTCTCAGTCTTAAAAATCTAATCTAGAACTACTGAAATAAGTCCTTTGCTCACTCCAAATTTGTTTCATAAGTGAAAGACACAATTTCTGATTCTCTTCAGTGTTATCCCTTCCCAGCATATTCAGTAAAGGAACACTCGTTTCATTACTGTTGCATAGCAAAAAAACCCCAGGTCATATGAAAAGACTATGTCCGTATTGTTGTTTCTTGTTTGCAAACTTGAGTAGAGAGAGAGTATTATTTGAGAATAATTTTGAAATTACCCCAAAGAGTTGAAACCTAACCCAGGAACTCAATCTACTTAAAAACCCCTTGTGTTAAACTAGTACTACAATTAAGCCTCTCCTTGCAGACTCTATACAGCTTATGTACAGTTGTGACAAAGATGCTGCGTTCCCCACCAACAGACTGAATGTCCAGAGTTCAAGACGTAACTACAACATACAGGAGGGACTTCTTTCCGTAAGCGCATCCACGGACTGCAATACAGGGACTGTTTTTAAAAGTACAACTACTCCACAACTTATTTTTAGAATCGAGGGTGGGCAGGGAGAATATTCTGTAAACCTTCCAAAAATCAGCCGGCCGCCCACTAAACTGCAGTAGCACTGTTTAAATAAGTTACAGGCTGCTTTGCAACAGCTGCAAAAAAACAGCGGAAAGACAGACCAAAGACTTCAAGTCCTTTAAAACGCTGGAGGCAAGGATATAAGAAACAGCAGCAGGCACAGTACTACATGCTAGAGACGCTGTGGTAATTTACCTGCAAGAGGTAGGTCAAACAGGCTTTTCTTAAGACTTGATGAGCATAGAACAACAATATCCGGCAGCTGCAAGGTAGGAATGTGCTTATTCCAACAGAGAAAAACCAAAGAAGGCTGGGCTTAGGGACCTGCATTGTAAGGATTATCAAGCTCTCCTCTTGTTTCAAGTAGCAATGCTAGAAACTGGCAAAATAAAAGCATGAGTTAAGTTGCCTTTACTCCCTCATGCAGATAACATACGAAGTTTGAGGTGCTAATGTTACTGAAATCTCCTACCGAAGAGTTTATGATTTCATCAAGCCTGTATTAAACGGTCAATAAAGAGGAGAAAGACTCTTAATTTTCCCTTTGATCTTATAACTTAAAAGCAGAGTTCCAAATACCCTGTTTTTATGGTATTGGCTATACCTGCTAACAGGAACCTCTCCGCATTCAACAGGTTACAGGACTAATAAAGGCAAACCACCCCAACTTGGCAACCAGAACGTAAATGCCTCTGTGCAGAGAAATTTATCGGTTGTACCACTTTTTTAGCCATCTAAGTCCAGTAAAACTCCTACTTTCAAACAGCAGTCAGTTCTTAATTTGAGGTAGGTGACCATCAGGCTGGAAGGCCCCTGGCAGCACAGAAAGTTAAGAGATTTACATGGACTAGTTTCCTTCAGCACAAAACACAAGCAAGCAGTTTTGCCCCTGACCATTCCTAGCAGCGGTTTTCCAAGTGACAAAGATCCCGCGAGGTACGTATCTCAAGAGGTCGGTGAGGGCCATTTCATCTGTTAGTCACCAGGTGCCAAACCCGATCTGCAGGTACCGGGGCTTCCGATACTCATCTCCCTCCCGAGCTAGGGCACCGCACCATCCCCATTCCTCAGCGCCTCACAGCTTGCCAGCTTCCACCCCGTGGCCCACTTGGAAGGGCCGAGAGCAACAGCTGTGAAACTCCCGGCAGGATCCTACCTGCCTGCAGACGGGCAGGAAGCCCGGCCTTTCCTCCCGCCCCAGCACCGGCCCCTCTCCGAACCCCGCGCCCCCGAAAAGCAGAAGGACGGGGACGGGCCTTGGCCTGCGGCCCCCGCGGATGCGGCCCCTGGGCCGGGCGCCGCACGGGGAGGTGGGGGCTGAGGGAACGGATTGAGGGGGGGGTGTCACAGAAAAACCCCGAGATCCCGAG